TAAGTTAAGCCCTGCCTCGAAGTCATCGTGGATCGCTTCTTCACGGTCTAGTACCTGCGAACATCACTTGCGACAAGTCTCAAGCGACAGCTTCACAAATGAGTCAAAATCCTTCATTGATGGGCCTGCAAAACGCAAAGATAAGAACACTAAGTGCTTAGAGCCAACATTCAGCACAGAGATATTGCAAATGTAATGCGGAACATATATTGACACCGACGCAAAACACAACAAGCGCCATAACAAGTTTTTAAAGCTCTTTGTTCGTACTGCTGACAAAAATCACATGTAAGGATGCCAGAAACGGACGTGCCCACTTGCTGCGGTGAGCCGATAAGCTTTGTACTCTTCGGTCACTGGCAGGTACAAACCGCTCACTCGCCCTGGAAATTGCCAAGAGCGTCCGTGTAAAAGCTTGATCACCTCAGACAACACTTTTTTTGTCAAGTTAATCTCAAATGTTTGGAGTCCCAGACCGTCTCGCCAGCTTGGTTGGTGATGATCTGAGAGCCTCCCACGAATGTGAGCAAACAGCTGTGAAGGCAAACACTGGTCTGCGGGCGTTTAAGTAAATTGCACCAAATATACAAACACCAATACTAATACGAGATTTAGGGTCTAGAATATTGAGCTTCGGGTAACGTTTATGGTTTAAGCCCGAATCTAGGTTCGTCCGGCCAGTTAGCACGCGATGAGAGCAATGACTCTTGTGCAAAAACCATGCATCCGTGGATGCAAAGGCCTCTGCAAACATGAGATCAAGCTTTGAAAGCGACTTGAAGACTTGGCAATTCGATGATGATTCCAGGGATTGGGCTCCGAACCTTGTAATCTGTCAAAGCTTCGGCCCTAACGAACCCCCACTGCTTGGACTCGTGCCGCTTTTACGACAGTGGGTTTGGTAGAGGCCGTAAAGTGCAGAACAGCATACACACTTGCATAGAAACAGGACAGAGACCTATGCACGCAGGGAGCAGAGGGCCCTTGAAAAGAAATCTGCGGATCTGCAGGAAGCACTCGCGCAAGCCAGAATGTCTTGCAGAAAGCGCACCTCGTATTTGGCGACGCGGCTCATATCCTCGAAACGTCGCGTGGGTTTCGATGGTGTTACCGCACTAAACCAACGATTGCTTCGAATGTCTGACTGAGCATGGAGCGGCACGGTGCAAGAACAGGCACACGAGGAGGCTCTTGAATTGCTGAATTGAGCCGGAAGCTGCATCGCCAATCGGCCTCGCCCCCATTTCTGCGACTCCAAATGTCACTTTGGTAACCAGTGCATCCACACAGTGTGCAAGTTTTTGTTTTAGCGGGAATGGTATGCATGCGCGCGTCCTTCGACGGTGATGCGCAGTCACGTATGCAAAAACATTCGGCGCCAACTATACAATAACTATGATGACATAACGTCCCTGGTATTCACCCGAGCAGGTCAGAAGCTGGTGGTGCCTGCGCCATGGAATTGAAACACAATCACATCATGCGGGGATCACCAGACCTGGCAGATGGTCCCTTATGGTCCCGGCCGATCTAGAGAAGCTTTCAGCTGGATTCATTGCTGGTGCCGGCATACACGCAGTTGCGTGGCTCTCGGCGGGCGCAGCTCTCGCTCGGATCGCCTCGATGGGACTGCAAGAACCAGACTTCACGAAGCAGAAGGAGCGTGCCGAGTGTCCCACCACGATCGTGCGAGATCAAAGCAACGCCCGAGATTTAGGACTTTGCTCGCGCGTGCTGAGGTTCTCACGATTTGATGTCTTCGAGGAGCTCCGCTGGTCCGTGCTTGGCTCCCGGCACTCTGTTGGATCGAGCCAACGATATGGCCGGTGGGTTTCTTTGTTGCAACGGAATGTGAATGTGCATGATTCAGTCGTCGAGCTCAGCTCTGCAGGTCTCGCTGACCTTTTTTGAGCAGACCAAGCGCTCTTCCGAAGGGCCGCGCTCACAGCTGCTGGATCCTTGCCAGAGAGCTATTGGCGGAGACTTATTTCGGCCGCTAAGCTCCGGACACCTTCGATGAGATCACGTTTACCTAGCCAGGCGACCAGGGCAGCAACGGTGCATGTCACGAGCGCAAGTTTCGCTACCGGGCGCTGAGCTGCAGGCCGATCTGTAGCTGTCCTCTTAGGTTTCCTCGCGAAGTCGCAAGGATGTTGCGAACCCGCGATTTGTAGCGACGCACCGCAGCCTTGAGGTAGCTGAGTGGCACGGCGTCCACAATCAGCAGCCGCACGTTCGCCTCTTCGTAGTCCTGCGATGGATGCTTCGGCAGATGAGTACAATTCGGTGCTTGATGCCTGAATCATCTTCAGCATCTCATGACGAAGGTGCTCGGCATGGCAGCGCCGGTTCGTGCAGTCGTTGCCTGCGCAGAGTGGCTCTTTGATCCGTGCGATTTCGACGGTGCCTGCCTGTCACGAGGAGAAGAACTTCTCTGTCCTCCGCGATATCTATGTTTCAAGTTTACCACGTGCTGCGAAGCCGCTGGGCCTTCTCTTCCACTGGCTGCACAAGCTTCCAGAGGTGACGATTGAAGCCGCCCCAGCTGAATCCCTTCCCCCAAGCCGGGTGAACCGGCAGGCCGAAAAGGGAAGCAGCCAGGGCGCCCCGATCGCCCCCCCACCATTGGTCCTCCTGGCGATATCGCTCTCCATGGTTTTTGTTCGAGAACCGCACACTTCATGAAATCTTGCCTCGGCAGTGGCAACGGCGCAAAGTGCGGAATCCGAGATGATTAGGTCCGCTGCCTGATTTTTTAGGGCCCCTCTGGAATAATGAATTTTAATCCGTCGAGCGAGGCCTTCGCGAGAGCCGGCAAAAGTTTCACCGCGACGGCTCGGATGCCGCGCGCGTTCAGGTGGCATCCGTCGGAGTAGTACTCCGACCCTGAGCTTCATGTGGTTGTTTCGAACGTGTCTTAACGGCCAGCCTGCCTGGACTGCGTGCGGCTTCGAACACCACCGCGATTTCCTCGCTTCGCTGGGTTGCCAAGCCGGCAAGGACCTCGATCTGATTCGATGCACTTACTGATGATCGCCGCAGATGTCGCCTCGTATTTCGTCGTGGCAAGGTAGCCGACCACCTGAAGCGTGGCGACGGTTTGGAAGTCTTTCGGTTGCATGCGTCTGAGTACACGAGACAGCAGCCGGTTCGAACGATCGTCGAAGAGCTGTGCCACGTGTCGCGAGTCGTGCACCGAGTGCGTGACCTTTGCCCGCCAGTGTCGCGCAACCTCAATGGCAAACACCACCGGGGCAGAAGGATCTAACAGGGATTGGGGCGCCATGCCCGATAACCGAAGCAATACTGGCGTCGTTGACCCTGATCATTTGGGCTCTGGGTTGCATGTCAGCACGTCAAATCAAGAAACAAGCATTCAAACGAATTGCCTGCCGGGTCGCCCGTGTTCGGTCGGGGACCTGCAGGTTCAGTAGAAAGGTAAACAGGTGCATAGCATAGGGCGAGCGGTGTTGGATGAACTAGCAGCTTCACGTGCTGTGGGCCTTCGTCCGCTTCGTGGCCGCATTTCCGGCCTCAGTTTCGATGCGAACTAGGATTTCTCATGGAGCCGCGGGCCAGTCTCGGGGAGATCCCTATGAGCTAGGCCCAACGAACCGCCCCTGCTTAAAACGCACCGATAAGGCTTCCGCAGGGACAGCCTGCTGCACGCCGCGCTGCCGGAGTCAGGACGTGACACACAACGAAGGCATGACAGCACCGTGTCTGAAAGCTCGGAACTCGTATTGTCGAGCCACGCGATTTACGTGCGGCCGAACCTGCCTGCAGCCAGCTCAGCAACGCTGCGACCTTTTCGTGCAAGTACAAGGATCTGCGGTTGACTGCGGCTCACGCCGTGCATGGCAGTGTCCGTGCACAGACGACGGCCTCCGCACTTTCGATGCCAACCTGACGATGTCGCGGCCGGCATGCGAATTGCCGGCGCATGTAACTTGTTCTGTGCGCCACGCGCTCATGAATCGTTTCCACTCTTTCTGTGCCTCCGAGATGCTACGCTAAGCCCTCCAATGCTTCGCAAACCCCCTTGCGACGACTGTAAGATTTCTTGGCTGAAGCTTGTCACAGTGGCTTGTGCCTTCCATCGGCGTCGAAGCACCTGAGAATGCATTCAGGGACGGGTTCGGACCACGTGTGGGGGACATAAGCTGGTCCTTAAGCAGTTCTTGGTGCCGGACCATTGTTGAAGCGAACAGAAACAAGACTAGCATCATTGCAGAAAATGCCACGCCTGGCAGCGCGAGAAGCTTTTCTGCTATGGATCGGTGATTGGCGGTGCAACACCCGGGAGTCCTCCGTGCCAGACACAGCGACGCGCCAGGGCGGTCGTGGCGGTGACATCCCAGGTCATTTTGCTTAGAAGCTCGAAGGCAGTGACTACTTTGAGCACTCAAGCTCGCGGGATGCCAGCAGAGTGCCACAGTGAACAGTCGAAACCAAAGGATCGGTAAGGCAGCTAACCCGTCGCCACGAAGCGTGCATTTTGTTGCTTTGTTGGACGAGTCCGGGACGCGCTCCCGTGAGATTCCTTGCCTACCTCGGGTGTGTTATGTCGCCGTGCTGTAGGAACCTCTGTACCTGTCATTGCAAGGGACATGTTGCTCGTTGCTTTGCTCCGTTATCCGCATCTTTCTGGGATTAAGCCTATACTTTAGTCCATGTGTGCTTTCACGAGTGAACGCTTGAAGCCCAGGTCTCAGCCGGCAAGATGTACTTGGCCTGGAGGTTCTTCCACTGGCCTTGCTGCGATGTCGGTATGCAGGGATCGCAAGAATATCGCCAGCGCTGATTCAGGCAGCAAGCAAAGCTCGGGACCAAGGCACTGCGTCTGCTTCCTGCAACTGCGATTTGGCTTACGGCTGCTGGGTGTTGTGCTCATTACGATAGGTCCTGGGTCCTGGAGTCTGTGCGGTTTGCCCCTGACGGAAGCATCTGGAGAGGAACTGCACTGTTTGCTGGCCGACTCGGTCGCACGGACTCCGGCCTCACTCGTCTGGCCAAAAGTCCTCATCCAGCGAGGACAGCCGCTCGCTGTATGGCATGTGGGAGGCTTGGGATCGAGCAAAGTCGTCCGTGACATCACGCAACGGATCGTATGCTAGCCAACCGCATACGAAACGGCAGCATGTTTGCACCTTAGCGCATCGGGTGAAATGCCCTTGCGCTCCCGATCCGGACGTCAAGTTTCGCGATTTCTGAACGTAAGTCTTGACATTAAACAAGCCGGCATTACTCCGTCGTACACATACCACTGCCTCCCCCAACGCCAATACCAGCGCCCATCGCTCCTGTCGGCGGGGTGCAGCCATGCTTATGTAGCGCGCTCGGCAGTGGTTCGATCCTCCGAAGTAGTGCCCCCGTGGAACCTCGTACTTCACGACTTTCTCTCCGGCCATGGCCTCGGAACAACGACATCGAATCCGCCGGTCTCAAGCTCTCCATGCCGGCCTCGAGCGAAACAAGGAGTGTGCCACGGACCCGCCGCAGAACGCGTGTGCGAGGAGTTGCTCGAGCCGCAAGACGGACCCATGATGACCACCACGAAAGCTGTCCAGCGCTGTACCCGTGGAGCAGGACATTGCTGTCACATACTTATAGAAGATGCTAGCTGCTAGTTGACCATGCTGGTTTCCACCTAGCAAGGCAAAAACAAGCATGCTAGTTGCACACGCTCGTTTCCGTGTGCCAAGACAAAACAAGGATGTTGGGTGGACACGCCGGCTTCATCCTGCAAAAGCAAGGATGCTAGTTGTCCACGCTGGTTTCCATTTGCCGTATCAAAAAGCAAGCTTCGAAGCAAGGATGTTAGTTACACACGCTGGTATACATCTGGCACGCATTGCACACGCTGGGTTCCTTTTGCCAAACAAAAAGAAGGATGCTAGTTGACTGGCTGGTTTCCATCTAGCAAGGCAGACACAAGGATGCTGGTTGCACACGCTGATCGTCAGGATTAGTGTCTGCGCGGAACGCCTTTTTTCCACCAGGAAACACGATGAAGTCATCGGCTCCGCGCGGTCCTGAAGTTGTGTTTGCTCGAGAGTTGCACGTGCGAACGAAGTTCTGAGGATCGGACACACTCGAATGCATGGCTTCCGCATGCGTTCGAGGATGAACTGGCAGCATGACGGTTCGAGCGAAGGGAATGGTGTCCGGAGTAAGGCCCTCGCTTGCTGATGCCGATGTCCTCTGCCAGCCACGTCATTTGCCTACAGGCCGAGTCGCGTAGTTTAAGGAAGCTAGACCACTAATCACGGGCCTCAAACGGTGCTCGATGACCAGCTGAGTGGCGACGACATGCTTGTCGGCAGAGGTCGTGGGCCAATCCACGACCTTGAAAAACTTGCATTCTCTTACGTTTGACGGCTCTGACACTGCCTGCCGGTAGATGGTGTAAACGAAGTCGCCTAGCAATCAAGAACTTTCACCCATGGAACGAGTCTTACACGTTCCTGCTGGCCCCGGAGCAAGCCGTGTCTGACCGAGTATGTACTACAAAATGCTTCGGGAGTTAAGCCTGAGATGGGAATCTGCTCAATACGAGTCTTGAAATGTTTGTCTTGATGTACCACGAACAGCCATTGTCTGACCAAGGAGGGGGAGCAGGATCTACCGAGAACAGCCACAGTCTAACCGAGGAGGCGGAGCAAAGGCGATGATGATGATATCGACGCTCTCTCTCTCTCTTCGCCTCCTCCCTCCTCTCTCTCTCCCTCCTTCACTCACGCCTAGCGCCTCCTCTCTCCGTGCCTCTCTCTCTCTCTCTCCTCCGTTCTCCTCTCCTCTCTCTCTCTCTCTCTCTCTGTCTCTCTCTTTCTCTCGTTCTCCCTCTGTCTACCCTTTCTCTCTCGCTCTCCCTTTTCCTCTCTCTCTCTCTCTCTCTCTCCTCTCGCCTCTCTCCCTCGCTATCTCTCTCTCTCTCTCGCCGGCTCTCTCTCTCTCTCTCCTCTCTCTTTCTTTCTTCTCTTCCTCTCTCCGCTCTCGCCCTCACTCGCTTCTGTCCTGTTCTGGCTGCGTTTCCACACCACCCAGGAGGTAGCAGCCTCGGCGCCTTGCGACTTTTTTTAAGGAGGTGTCCATCCCCAGTAGGGATACCCTTCCTCCGGAGACACACGAACAAAAGCAAGTATTAGGAAAGAAGACCATTGTGAAACGAAACTATCTGGAATGTGAAATTTTCTGAAATTTCAAACAACAACAACACGATCAAAACACGGCGGTATATAAAAGTAACTCTTGTCAAACGAATCTATCTTGCAAGTGAAATCTTCTCTACCTCAAAGTATGACAGAAATCCACGCTCAACAATCGAGGACGACAGAAGGCTCACGACACGAATGATTGTGTCAAGTTAACGTATCCATCGATGTAAAATCGATTGTAACTCCAAAGTAATATGAAAAAGAGGTTAAAGAGGACGTACTTCCACATACAAAGTTCTCGATATACACGTACATACATACACACACATATACATATATGTATATGTCCACCTCTAAGTACCGAGACTTTTTTTCATACCCGCCACGCCCATGTCCTGTTCACTCCTCGCGCCGACCTAAGTTGCGATTGCTTGCACGTTAGCTCCGAGTAAATCTAAACTCGGTGCCCGACGCTTCAGGGCGGGCGGTCGCATGTGCATGTACATCAGGCGCCGCGGGATCCACCGTTTTGTCAGCAAGGTCCTGGTCGAGCAGGGGTAGAGACCGTACTCGTCCTGATACCAAGGCCCCGGCACGTCGAACCCGTTCGAGTCGGCATAACGCTCCAATGTCCTGTCAGCCGCAGTTGCGAAAGGAAAGATACCAACCTAAGCGACCGGGCCTGAGACGGTACTCTACCGTCATATGGAACGCGTGCACGAAAAGGTCACTGCTGGTGGTGGGCCAGTCGTCCAGGGCCTCCAGGGCCTCCAACAACTACATACGTTCTCGTTCAATGCCGTTCTAATCCTTGCCTTGGTGTACGCCGCGTGGATTAAGTCGCCTGGTGACGGGACGATGGGCAAAGCAAGGAAAAGGACCTGACCCCTATCAAGCCAATCGCGCCTTCAGCCACCTTTGCCAGCATCACCTTCTCGCGAGCGTGCACCTGCCACTGAAGTCTTGCAGAAATCATCTCACTAGCTCTCCTCAGCCTCGTCCGCGACCTTCCAAGTCCACCACTTTGGGAACCTCAGTGGGAATAAAGAAAGCTCCTGCAGAAGAACTGCTGCTTACTATCCAAGACGGCCACTGGAACGGGGGGATCTCGAACTCAACCGGCGCGACAGGCGGAAGGAGGGCGTAGATTGGGCCTCAACAGGGGCGCGAGTAAGGTTTACGAGCAGTGGAGCCCTCTGGGTTCGTGACCGGGCAGGGCGGCCATCTTGGTTGCTAATAATTGCTAATAATTGTTAATAATTGCTAATAATTGCTATTAATTGCTAATAATTGCTAAGAATTGGTGATACTTGCTAATAATTGCTAATAATTGCTGATAATTGCTAATAATTGCTAATAATTGCTAATAATTGCTGTTAATTGCTAATAATTGCTGATAATGGCTAATAATTGCTAATAATTGCTAATAATTGCTAATAATTGCTAATGATTGCTAATAATTGCTGATAATTGCTAATAATTGCTAATAATTGCTGATACTTGCTAATAATTGATAAAAACTGCTAATAATTGCTAATAATTGCTAGTAATTGCTAATAATTGCTAATAATTGCTAATAATTGCTAATAATTGTTAATAATTGCTAATAATTGTTAATAATTGTTAATAATTGCTAATAATTGCTAATAATTGCTAATAATTGCTAATAATTGCTAATAATGCTAATAATTGCTAATAGTTGCTGATAACCCTAAACGTTTATGGTTTAGGCCCGAATCTGCACCAGTTCGGTCTGTATTCTAGGCCCAGAATAGGGGGTACCTCGAGATCGGCCTTCCGGCCTAATAAAAACGCTATTCTATGAACAGAATTTGTCACCCAAAACGCACACCCCAAAATCCAAGAAATTTGGCTTTAAACGCTAAACCTTAAACGTTTATGGTTTAAGCCCGGATCTGCACCAGTTCCGTTTATATTTTAAGCCCAGAATGGAAGGGGCCTCGAGATCGGCCCTCCGGCCGAATAAAAACGCTATTCTATTAACAGAATTTGTTACCCAAAACGCCCACCCCAAAATCCAGGAAATTTGGCTTTAATTATTTTATGGTTTAAGCCCGAATCTGCACCAGTTCCGTTTGTATTTTAGGCCCAGAATGGAGGGGACCTCGAGATCGGCCCTCCGGCCCAATAAAAACGTTATTCTATGAACAGAATTTGTCACCCAAAACGCCAACCCCAAAATCCAGGAAATGTGGCTTTCAGTTTAGCAAACCCCCATTCAAGGTTCATTAACAGGGTTTTCCAAACCCTATGGTTTAGCAAACCCCCATTCAAGGTTTATTAAACCCTAATTTAGGGTTTAGCAAACCCTAGGGTTTAGCAAACACCCATTCAGGGTTTATTAACTAATTTAGGGTTTAGCAAACCCTAGGGCTTAGCAAGCCCCCACTCAAGGTTTATTAATTCTTAATTTAAGGTTTAGCAAACCCTAGGGTTTATTTAGGGTTTAGCAATCCTAGAGTTTAGCAAACCCCATTCATTTAGGGTTTAGCAAACCCTAGGGTTTAGCAAACCCCCACTCAGGGTTTATTAATTCTTAATTTAAGGTTTAGCAAACCCTAGGGTTTATTTAGGGTTTAGCAATCCTAGAGTTTAGCAAACCCCATTCAGGGTTTATTAAACCCTAATTCAGGGTTTAACAAACCCTAGGGTTTAGCAAACCCCCATTCAGGGTTTATTAAACCCTAATTCAGGGTTTAGCAAACCCCCATGCAAGGTTCAAAAACTAAAAAAAAACTAAAAAAAAATTAAAAAAATAGAAAAAGGCAAAAAAAATCAAGAAAACCCAAAAAAAACACAAAAAAAACCCAAAAAAAAAAACCCAGTTTAGGATTCTCAAAAAGGCACCCCGCACACGAAGCAAGCTCAATAAATCCTAAACCCTAAACCCTAAACCCTAAACCCTAAACCCTAAATCCTAAACCCTAAATCCTAAACCCTAAACCCTAAACCCTAAATCCTAAACCCTAAACCCTAAACCCTAAACCCTGTCTTGGGGGGTTAGGGTTTAAGCTTTTCTCACGGAGCTCCGAACTCCAAGCCGCGATCGGACTTCGGAGGGAGAGTGATGTTAAGCTCTCACAGTAACTCATAGCAAATCATATCTTAGGGGTTTAGGGGTTCAGGGAGTGTTTAGGGTGTTAGGGTGTTAGGGTTTAGGGTCTAACCTGCAGCCCCACTTCCGGCAAAATGGTAGGCGATGTAGGGGATGACCTCTCAATTGCGCGGCCTAACCCGTAAACCTGTGCGGTCTGGGCATCCGCGGGAAGAGTAAGAAGCTTTAATCGGAGGCCTCACAAGGTGGCGATGAAGGTAGGCGGGATTAAGGATACCTTATATAAGGACTCTTCTTTGGGAATATCCCACCTACCTTCATCCTACCTTTTGAGGCCCCCCGATATAAAAGCTGGACTGACAACAGCTTATTGCACCCGACCCCAGCTGTACATCAATACTACGATTGTGGAACAGAAGCATCCCCACTGTTGCTCTTGGAAGGGTAATTCTTTATGGAGCCGAACCCTAAAACTTTCAAGGTTCTGAAACTTAAACCCTGAACTCTAGTCTGAACCTGTCCTCAGCCCACTGGCAAGGTATAGGGCGTCCGAGCACTAATCACGAATCATCCGTCATCTACGTTCCAAGTTTCTGGACTTCACGGGTACCTGGACCCCAAAAGGATGTAGAATAATAACAATGATGACAAGTAACAACAATGTTAAAAACAATAGCAGCCCTTAATGGGCCTTCTCAGCAACTATTTCTTTACCTCCTCTTGGTGGGCTCTAAACATGAAGCCAAGCCCTCGCAGCCTTGGTTTCATGCGCCTCCTCAGCTTTTCGGGTGCCAAGTCCTGCAGCGGTGCCTGCACGGCTCAAGCGTTTGGGGTTCTTTCTCGAGGGCCTTACTGAGTCTGCACATGTTTGGGGTCTAGGGTTTATGGTTTAGCAGATCAGGGTTCGAGATTTATGGCTGAGGCTTCAAGACTTCGGGCAGCTCGCGCACAGAATCTAATGCTTAGGGTCGAGGGTATCGAGTTTAGGGCTTTAAGGGTTTAGGGTAACTATTATCCACAGACTTCAAAAAGGCTTAGGGTCCAGGGTCCAGGGCGTATAGGGTTCAGGGTTTTAACGGCTCAGGGTAACTATTATCCAGAGACTTCAAAATTAAAACCTTCGAGCTTCCCTGAGACCCGTGTAAAACCCTGCACAGACCTGTGCAACAACCCAAGAACTCTTGCACGGAATTAATTGAAAGGCCGCGCTGCATGCGTCTCAGCATTTATGTGGTATAGGGGCCTCAATACTTAATACTTAGAACAAGAGTCGGGGGCATAGTCTGGTGTAGCTACCTTACGAAATGTTAAAGATTCAGGCCCCTCAACTACCCCTTAAGAAAGCATATACTTCGGCCCTAAAGTACCTGTATAGTGTCTAGGACGCCCTTTAAGAAACGCTAAGAAACCCCGAGGGCCCATGCACATATGGGGTTTCCGAAAACAGGGGTACCTGATTGTGGGGGTCCTTATAATAAGGATCCTACTATTTAGGGTACTATACTAGGGTCCCCTATTTTCGGAAACTCCCATATACTGCGCTGTATATACAAAGCCCCACCCAAACAAACCACGAAAACAAATTGTAAGACCTCTCAAGGTACTATACGGGTACATGGAAACTTAGTTAGGTTCTCGCTACCTATTTAAAACATTCCGGGCAGACTGGTCCCTAGCCTTTCCAGACCAGCGACACTGTCTTGTACCTGTGCAGCTGGGTTATTGGGTTGAGGGTTTGGGGCTTAGAAACCTGTGCATTTGAGAGAGTACGGAGACCTTCATGTCGGACCTAACCTAGCCGGCGTCGGCTCCACTGCCACACGCGCATCCATTCCCTCGAGCTCCAACCGCTCCCTAACACCCCCGCGACCACATCATCAGCAGCAGCATCAGCACCATCAGCGACATATATAATCAGGAGCGTGAACATCACCATCATCACAATCATGTCCCCCCCTCTCCCCTCCTGCCCTCCTTCTCCTACTGCTGCCAATCCTCGTCCCCCTCCTCAGTAGAAGCTGTGAGATCAGCACCGCAAAGCAAAAAACTTCTAAGCTTGGACACAACGATTTCGTGCCAATTCTGAAACTTCCTAACTTTCGGCCTTCAGATGTAAACCTTATGACAGACTCTGAGCCGTAGCTATTTCCGAAGATCGTAAATCCTTACACAAACATGTTCAGAAACCTCGGAAGTCGTATTTCCGAAACCTCGAGCCGGCCACGACGACTACATGTGGAGGGTTGTAGGGTTTAGGGTTTTAGGCCTTAGGGTTTTAGGATTTTAGGGCTTAGGGTTTTAGGATTTTAGGGCTTAGGGCTTTACGGTTGCGGGGTTTAAAGTTTAGGGTTTAAGGGTTTTAAGCCTTTAGGGTTTTAGGGTTTAGGGCTTTAGGGCTTTAGGGTTTTAGGGCTTTAAGCCTTTATGGTTTTAGGGCTTTAAGCCTTTAGGGTTTTAGGGCTTTAGGGTTTAGGGTTTTAGGGTTTAGGGTTTAGGGTTTTAGGGTTTAGGGTTTGGGTTTTACGGTGTAGCGGTTTCATACCCCATGTCCTCGGAACACTGGTTGACTGTTTTCACTATTTATTTTGGGCTTGCAGAGGTCCGCATCTCTCCTAACTTCAGTCATGCCTATCCTAAGCTCTACTAAACAAATCCTAAACTCTGAAACCCTAACACCTGGAATCCTAACCCTAAGCCCAAAACCCCGAAATCCTACTATCGGACATCTTGACCCTAAACTCTACACCTCAAACTCCTTCGTATGCCAAGCAACACGGTCCATGTCCCCAGACAGCAGAGGAGGAGCTGCAAAATGGCGTAGACGTTACCTTTCTAGGATACTGGTTTGGGGGGCCTAATTCCATAATGAATAATGGTAGTATATCTGGACCCTCTGGGAAATGATTAGAAGCATTAAAAACTTGGTATCTGAGAGTCTTGAGACTTCAAACAGTCAATGGCTCCGACCCCGAACCCACAGCTCCTAGGATACCCAGTAACCTAAGAATAAAAAGGCCTCTCTTTTTGGTATTGGGTAACTTTATCAGGAACCTAGGACTACAAAAAGGGAATAAGGGTACTACTGGGCATCCTAGCTTTCTGAGCGGATCCCACAAGTCCGTAAAGGAACATAAATAGGCCAGAAGTCCTAACAAGCTGCATCTCAGTAAGCTCAAGAGACCGTCATACCTTAAACCTCAGAAACCCTCGAAACGCTCAAACCCTGAACTTTAGCGCACACGTTCGGCTCCGAAGCATTCACCCGAAAACATATCGCCGAACCACCAACCATGTGAACACACTCCGGTAGCATACAACAACACATGTCGGCCAACAACACCCCGCCTCTTCAACGAGATTCATCAGGATATTTTATGAAGTAGAACGAAGGCAGGATTTTCGCGGCTACAGGCAAACCCTGAACCTAGAAACCCGAGCTGACAATTCCGAGGCCTTTAACTTTAACCTCCAGGGACCCAACACGAAAATCATGTTTTTCTACTGCACAAACAATAACATACTACATACATATATATATATATACACACACATACACATACAGCCTGTATATGTAGATGTAGGGTGATGTACGCTTAAGCCGCCTGGGCTTATTTCATAATCGAAACGGAAAGCTATACCGAAAGGGAACCCGGTCAAGCCCCAAAACTCCGCACAACCCCAAACGTGCCATCATGGGCTGAGGGCCAAGGGTTTTGAAGCACTTTTGCACTAGCATCTTCATGTAGTAAGGACACTTCAGGCGACGATGACTTGAAACAGTCGAGCCTAGGCCGCGAGCACCCCAAGCTGGTGAAGAAAAGCAGACCCGACATTCCCGCTTGGCGGAACAGATAGTCTCAATAGACATCTCAACCCCCCCTGAACCCGAAACTCTTAGGGTCAAGCCCAACGGTTCAAGAAAGCCCAAAAGCATTTACAGTAGGGTCTACAAATGGAAAGCTTTAAGCCGGGAGGTCCTTCGGTCCTTAGGGTCAGGGTTGAATCTAGATGCTACTTGGAGGATCATGGGACTTAGTAAGTAAGGTTCCTTAAAGGGCTCCTTTAAGGGACCTACAAGGGTTACTATAAGGATTCTATAAGGGTTTTGGGGGTACTTAAAGGATCATGGGACTTAGTAAGTAAGGTTATAAGTACCTTAATTGGGGTTATAAGTATAGTTACCTTACTTATAACCCTAGTTACTAAGTCCCATGATACTTCATTCAAGTAGAAGACATGGGACATCACGGGACCGTTGAGAAGTTGTTGATTCGAGTGAAGGAATTAGGGTTGAGGGTTCAGGGTGAACGGCTGGGTTTAAGGCATATGAGTAACATAGGGGCCTTCAGAATTAGAATACCGTTTTGGGGTATCTTAGACGATGATTATATAATGGGTGCCTGATAGATAGTATTGGCAATCATCAAATCAGAAACCATGATAAGCTACAACCCCTGTGATGCCCAATCCCTGCATCCCAAGATCCTGCTCCACCAGCCACAGTGATGTTTACATGGTTGCGATCTATCAGCACAGAGGCCTCAAGAGCTAGTAACAGTACTCCCTGATAGTCGATGAATGCTTTTACGACATGGTATACACCAAAACTGACTTTATGAGTAATGTGCCCCACAACTGTTTATACTAAGGCAGTATGTCCGAAACCATAATTTCAATTGCTGAGGCCTCAAAACTTTTCTACCGTGAACCAAATAAGGCCCCATGCGGTTGATGATATAAATCCTGCATGACCCATAATAAGGAATATACCACAATTCCCATAGTTTAGGGTCATTTAAGGTAATGCATGATTTAGATCCTAAACCCTAAACCCCCTATAGATCCCTTAAAGGAACCCCAGAAAGATACCCTTATAGATCCCTTCAACAGTAGTAAGGACCCTGCGTCCCCCAAAGTCCAAGATGAAGCGTGCTGTGATCGGTGCCAGGAAGCGGCTGACCTGTGAACTTCTGCGGCTTGGGGGTTGCTGGGTTTAGGACTAGGATTAAAAACAAAAAGTATAGGTTTGGGGTTTAGGATTCGAAACACCAAACTGCACGTGCCTGTCTTAATTTTGTTATGGTTTAGTGTTCCGAGTTCGAGAGTCTTCCATGGAAGCCAAATCCATGGAAGCTTCCTTCTTGCCTGTGGTGTCATGGTTCAAGAATTTGTCAACCCGAGAATAAAATGGGCTCGAGGTGCCCCAGAGCTACGCAGGTTCCTGTCCTCTGTTCAGACTTAGCTGGGACTTAGGGATAAGCTTGGCCAAAGTGCGACTTGGGGTTCAAGACTCATGCTTTGGGGGGCCTGTGTTATCTTGCTTCATCCACCGGCTATCCTTCGTTGAAAGACTTGAGCTTCAGGGAGTCCAGATGCCTGAAACAAGGCATGTTAGGGTCTGGGGTTTAATCATGGCTTTCTGCTTGACGTCTGAAGCGTAATGTTTGAAGTTTACATTTTCTTTTGGATCTACGCGAATCTACGTGCTTATGAATAAGCTCCCGAAACCTTGATCTAAGCTGGGGCTATGGACCAGGCAGTGTAGTGTATATTTTAAAAGCTTAAACGTACTCCCTTTAGGGCCAAAGTATATACCAATGTGCGCAAAAGGGGTCCCTGTGCTGAAATGGAGTCCCCTCTTCACCAAGCCAGGCGGCATTCACGCCCATGATGTTGCGCCTGATTGATGGCCACTTAAACCCTTCTAGGCTCCCCCGCATCTATCTAGTGATTGGTTTGAGGCCTAAAGACTCCCGAATCTTGTGCACAAGCCCACATTAACCTCTCAGAGTCGATGTGCCCATCATATAGCCATTAGTGTATACGAACCCTAAACCCTAAACCCTAAGCCCTAAACCCTAAACCCTAAACCCTGAACCCTAAACCCTAAACCCTAAACCCTATTTAAACCCTGAACCCTAAACCGAACGCCTTCAGGGCCACGGCCGAAGGACACTACCAAAGGCTCAGGCCTGAACGATGCTTCTTGCTTATAGGTCGACGGCTCCTTCTGTGGTTTTCTTTGAGCCCCTTTCCTGGGTTTAGGGTTTAGACCCTAAACCCTAAACCCTAAACCCCTAAACCCTAAACCCTAAACCGGGCTTCCAAGGGCTGTTGAAAACCTCCTCGATCCGAAAAGTTGAGGCTAGACACTGAGGGGCGACAGAATGGGTCGAGGCTATCGGGTTTAGGGTTTAGCCAGGTTCCCAGAGACTCCAATATCCAATATACATTAAAACTATAATCGGATCCATCATATGGTTTAAGGAGTATTCCTTAATTACGGGATATTAATATTGGAGTCTCTGGGTGCGGGGTTTAGGGCTTAGCCAGGTCAGGGATTCCCTGGCAGAAAGCGACTACAAGGACGCCGAGGTAAACCCTACACTCGTATGACCTTCAAACCTGAGACCCCTCTAAAATCCTCAACCACTAACCCTAAACTCTACCCATAGGCCCCATACTAGTTCCTGTTTCGGATTACCTGATAGGGTTCTACACATGAACCCCCAAAATGAACTACTATGGGGCCTATGGGTAAACTCTACCCGACGAGTCCCGGAGGTACGGTCGGAACAGAAACACGCCTCACCCAGAGACTCCAATATCCCTTAATTAAGGAATATTCCTTAAATCATATTTGGGATCCTAGTATAATTTAAGGTATATTCCTGAACTAAGGGATATTGGAGTCTCTGGGCTATGCGAAAACTACCCCTGCCATGCTCTCCGACGCTACAGCTGAGGCTGCCACACGCGATACACTTCCTGGAAAGCAGGAGGTGTGGGATCTTCAGGAAATGGAGCCAGACTAAAGCCAGTATAAAGCGGTAATTAAGATCCTTGGCATGAAGACAGTCCCTAATCATGAGGCACCGCGTGTCCTTTGCGAAGGTTTCGGTTTTGTTCCGAGCGGCGGGAGCTCTAGATTCAACACTAATCCAAATGATGAATGAGTTTAGGGTTTCGAAGTTTCCGAGTACAACCAAGACCCTAGCAGCTATGCGACTTCGGTGTGGACGTTAACGGAAAGTAAATGGGAGTTTCCCAAAATATGGCACCAATATAGTAGCCCGTCATGGTAGGATTCTTAGTATAAGGATCCCAAAATAAGGTACCCTAATTTTCGGAAACTCCCAAATAACAAAGACTTGCCGGATCCCTTTCGAGCAGAACTTCCTCTGGAAGGAACCACGGTGGCATATGGGTGGTTGTCAAAATTAGGGTCCCCTTTTTGGGGTCCTTAATATAATACGGCACCTATTATTTAGGGGACCCAAAACGGGACCACAATTTTGACAACCACCTATATGTCTTCAGACATTGACCCGCAAGCCCAGGGATCTTCAACCACCAGAGCTTGCAATAGCTCTAAAATATACAAACATCATGTCTCCAAAACATTTACTAAATGCTCGGGCCTGGACACAAATCATGGTTCAGCACTGCATGCTCAACCCTGCACATATTGGAGGCCTCAAAAGGTGGGACGAAGGCAGGTAGGATGAAGGATCCCTTATACAAGAACTCCTGTTTTGGGATTACCTCACCTACTTTCATCCCACCTTTTGGAGCCTCCGAACATAAACCCTGAGTGCCCCAGGCCATACGTTCATGCGTGTAGGGCTCGGAGGTCAGGTTTTTGGCTTTGAGGGTTTCGAATCTCGGCGTGTGGGTTCAGGGATTTGCCAAGACTCTCAAAGGTGGAGTTCTTACACGGAGCTATCCAAACATAAACCTATAACCCCAATCGCCAAAAAAATCCTGAACCCTTAACTTAGCCAGGATGCGATGCTGTAGGACGTGCCAGGGGTAGCTGCACGGCACCCCCAACCCTCGCCAATGCCGTTGGCCACCTCAGACTCTCGGAGTTTGATATTATGCTCTGTATACGGGTCCTATGTGTCCTATGAGGATTCTATGACTAAGGGCTCTGCTGGGGCTATGAGCCCTTTGCAGGGTTTAGGCTTGAGGGCTCAAGGGCTCATCAAGCAAGGTTCTTTAGTTTAAGCTTCTTGTTTTAAGATCTGGCATTTAAGGTTCAAGATTCAGTGCTTAGGTCCAGTGCTTCAATGGTTCTTAGGGGCAGGCTTTGGGAGTATGTAGGGGCTTAGTCTTGCCCTCGGTTTCAGAGCTTCGCCAGCGTTTTTACAGCTTCGTGGCTAGGGTTAGTCTGCGGAGATACTACACCCAGGTTCGTGAGTAGCTCCTTGCTTCATAACAAGAGTATCCCTTTGTCCTACTATTCGGTTCCGATAAGGGGACCCTAAACCAAAAAGGGCAAAAGGGTATTACTCAGGACCTGGTATACCCCAAACCCCTATGGATCGCTTGTAGAACCCTTTAAGGATCCCTTACAGAACCTTTTAAGGAATCGTTTAAGTGTACTACTCAAGAACACCTAGCTACACAGGTACTTAGATCCTTCATGGAGGTTCCATGATGTATCAAACTCCCAATTCCTAGCGAAGTGTTCCCAAACCCGAAACCCCCAAAACGCTAAACCGGGTTTGGGGCTGAGGGTCCTTAATTCTAAACCCCCAACCCCGAGCACTGCCCGTAACACCCTATATAAACCCTAAGCCGCAAGGCTGCGTCACAAGGTGAATTCCGTGTTAATATGTGGTAAGTACGAAATGACGACGATGATATTGTGATAATGTGTCAGCAACACTATTCGTCTTAATATTATCATTACTATTAATTACGATTATTGTTGTTATTTTTGCTCTTCGTATTCGTTTTGTTATCAACAACCATAACAATAATGACACTTGCTCCCAGGAACGCTGGCACCGCCGTAGACGATGGCATCAGCGAGGAGCAGGCTCCCCGCACCTAGCGCGACGTGCCGAGGAGCTCTATCGGTTTAGGGGGTTTAGGGCTTCAGGGGTTTAGATTAGAAGCTGCCCCCCGCCTGTAATAGTGACCATAAGGATTATATTGATATTACATTAGGGCCCTATTATATTCCTATTATACCAGTCTTACAGGGGGTTTAGGGCTTCAGGGGTTTAGAGTTTAGGGGTTTAGGGGTTTAGGGGTTTGGAGTTTAGGGGTTTAGGCGGTTAGGGTTTAGGGTTTGGGGGTTCAGGGGTTTGGGGGGTTGGGGTTTGGGGGTTTAGGGGTTTAGGGTTTAGGGTTTAGGGATTTGGGGTTTAGGGGATTAGGGGTTTAGGGGTTTAGGGGTTTAGGGGTTTAGGGTTTAGGGGTTTAGAGGTCTAGGGTTTCGGCTTCCTTAAGGGTGGGGTTTGACAGTGTCGAGCTTGGGATGTAGGTTTGAGGTTTGAGGGCCTACACATGTATAAAGCACTGTTCGGGCATGTCTTTGGGACCGAATGCTGCTTGAGAGCTTGGTGGGCTATGTCCTCTACCCTGGAGCCCTCTCTTGCATGGCAGTTGAACCGTACCCGCTTCTCAGCTTCACTACGGTTGATGATATAAATCCTGCATGACTGATAATAAGGAATATACCAGACTTTCCTTAGTTAAGGGCCATTCAGGTAATGCAGGATTTATATCATCAACCGTAGGTCCTCCAGAAACCGTAGACCGCAAATCCGGGGTTTAAAGGGCAAGGACCCGAGTTCGAGAAGTCGCTGGAGCTTCCAACTCACCGCTGTACAAATGACTCACCAAACAGCTTAGGGTTCAAGGGTTTACGGGTTTAGCGTTTAGAGTTTAGGATGGGTTTAAGGGTTTAGGGTTTAGACTTTAGGGTGACCGAACAGAAGCTATACTTCAAATCCCTGAACCCCGCGGGCGGGAGGGGAGGGGAGGGGAGGAGTTCCATGCGCAGATAACCCAGCTCCTTTGTGGGAGGGGGACCTGGGGGTCCCTGAAGTAAGGGTCCCTTCCGGGTTCTTATGGTTCTAAACATATTGGGGAAAACTATTTTTTCCCCAATATGTTTAGTGCTTATGTCATTCTCGACCCCCTTATTCTTCTGAAACTCACACCTTGATGTTGCTTTTGTTTTTGTTGCTGTTGCTGCTGGTGCTGTTGCTGATGCTACTGTTTCAATTTCTATAGCCTGTGCTGTAGAGGTGTATGTTATGGCGTTTGTTGCTGTTGGGGTTGATATTGCTGTTGCTATTGTCTACGTGTAAGTCTGGACTGTTGTATTGTTGTTGTTTTATTGTTGTCAAGAATCTTGTCGGTCGGTCGGTTGACTGGTCTGCTTGTGGGTTCCTGTTATTATTATTGTGTTACTGTTGTCGTTGGTGTTGTTGGTGTTGGTGTTGGTGTCGTTTGTGTTGGTGTTGTTGTTGTTGGTGCTGGTGGTGCTGGTGGTTCTGGTGGTGCTGCTGATGCTGGTGATGCTGGTGGTGCTGGTGCCGGTGCCGGTGCTGTGCTGGTGTTGGTGCTTCGGCTGCTGTCCATAAGCCCAGAAGAAAGCCTTTAACGCACAAGTCCTGACTAAGGACGCAGCCGAATTTGCCAAACGCTTGCCAGTTGAAGAGCAGGAACACCTCACTGAGGCGATAGCAATTACCAACAGTATGGACAATTATAGCCTTTTATGGGTATTGGGCCATCCTACTTTGGGGGGTCTAGGTATTGAAGGTTGAAGATATTGGGTTTTGGAGTTTAGGGTTTCAGAGGTTTTGGGCTCAGGCGTTCCGGCTTCGGCCTTAGGGTTCTGGATGTAGGGCTTAGGGTCTATAGGGCTTTTGTTTAAGGGTGCAGTGGGACTTTCGCACTGCTGACTCCCTGCCCGATTTGGGCTTGCACTTAGAAAAGGCACACCCTAGGGTTTTTTTTACAGGAAGGTGACTTTTACGCCCTAGGGTTTAGGGGTTTTAGGCGATGCCGAGATGATTGGAGCCACTGTTGGAGTAGGAGCCCGTTCAGCCTCCACCCTGAGCTTAACGGCCTCTCTTTACTCCCCACCGTAAACTCAATACCCTACACCCTAAACCCCTAAACCCTACTTAGAGGATCATGGGACTTGGGAACTAGGGATATATGTAAGGTAGCTATACTTATAACTACTTATAACCCCAGTGAGGTAGACATAACCTTACTTGCTAAGTCCCATGATCCTTTGAGTAAGCTTCAAGCGCTCAGCCCGAAACACTCAAGCAGCAGATCAGGAATCCAAAAAATTGAAAATCCTAATGCAAAAACCGTAAGTATGTGCGCGCTCTATATTCCCCACATAATTGCAGTGTGATCTTCCCCAAACCCGTTTCTCATGATTAGCAAGAATAGTAATAGTCGTTTCTCCTATGGATCTTATGCATGATAAACCAGATTCTATTCTACCAATCTAGAATCTAGCTGGTGCAATCCCACCGCATGCAAAGGACGATTGTAAACCCTAAACACTCAAACTCAGAGGTTAAACTGACTATCTAGCCCAGGGTGTTGACAAGTCTACGCTATAGTCTCAGGAAACGCCAAGAAATACTGTTGCTCATTATTCCGACACCTCCCATATAAACTGGGCTTCGACCCTGATGCCGTTGCATCGATGCGCAAGGGCAACCTCCCCGGAGAGCCCAATACCCCTTAATTAAGGAATATCTCGTGAATCATAATATGAACCCCCTTAGAGTTTAAGGCATTTTCCTTACTTAAAGGGTATTGGGCTTCTGGGTCATTTCCCTTGGAACGGTCCCGAAAGTGCCAAAAACACCAAGAAGTCTCAACTCTAGCTCCTCACGCCTATATCCTCCGAACAAACCCGACAAAAAGACGAAACCGTAAACCCTTCAGTTCAAGCTGATCGTGGGAAAGCCCCTTCAAACTTGCCTGGAACATGTTGCATGTAGGGCAAGCAGAAAAGGACTAGCAGCTATTTCGCGGCTTGTCTTCCCCAGAACCCTAAACCCTCAACCCTAACCTAAGAAGCTTCGGCCCAGCGACGCCGCAAAGGCCTTGGTTCTTGCAGGGTGCTTTGGGTTTCAAGCGTAGCGCGGGACGGCAAAGGCCCGAAACCCACCGTACTTCAGAATCTAGCAGCTCTAGAACACTCGCTGTGCCACCCCAAGACCCCAAACTGCTGCTCCTTCTGTCCCATGCCTCGAAATCTCATACAGTAGACCCGGTTCAGTGTTGAGGCAGTAGGGCTGTTAGGGTAGGGTTGTCGGGGACTCGGGCACTCGGGCTTAGGCCATAGTAACGCTAGTATTCAGAGAACCCAATACCCCTTAATTAGGAATATAGCTTAAATCAATTTATGAACCCTCTTATGGTTTAAGGTATATTCCTTAATTCAGGGGTATTGGACTCTCTGGGCAAGCGTCAGGGCTGTCAGGATTAGGGGTATACTGAACTGAACCAGGCGATTAAGTGCCTCATCCGAGTGGCCTGCAACAGATGCAGTGATAAACACTGTGGACTCACTGGCAATCTTTCCTCGGCTCACACTGGGTAGTTTGGGAAACTGATGATTCTTATTGTCATTATTGTTATTGGTGTTGTTTTGATTCATGACCCCTAAACCCTAGACCCTAAAGCCTAAACCCTAAACCCTATTCTTGGTGTTGTTATGATTCATCATGGTTGAGATTCTTCGCCTTACTATCAGTACTTGTACTGCTCGGGTGTCTTGAGGGCTTCGTCTGGGAACCTCGGACCTATAGTTCGGCACAACTTAGAGGATCATGGGACTTAGTAACTAGGGTTCTAAGTTATAAGTAAGGTAACTCTACTTAACAAGAGCCTACTTAGAGGATCATGGGACTTAGTAACTAGGGTTTTAAGTAAGGTAACTCTACTTATAACCACTTATAACCCCAATTAAGGTACTATTATAACCTTACTTACTAAGTCCCATGATCCTCCAAGAAGGCACCACAAGACCAGGGATGTGCGGGGCTTCAAGATGTAAAGGGTTTAAGGATGTGTACAGCTTACGATGTTTAGGGCTTAAAGGATGTTTCGGGTTTAAGGATGTTTAGGGCTTAATTGAGAGGTTTAGGGTTTAGGTTTTTGTACTATTAGGGTTCAGGGTTAAGGGTTTCGGGCTTTGTTCGTGAAGTATCTTGGGTTGGTCTGGGGTTCGAAGATGCTCGAAGCTTACATATTTTGACAGGCCATGCCTCATGGATGTGCTGATGACGGCAAACTCCTGGAACCCTAAAAGGCTGAGGCCCCCTCTAATCCTTAACCTGTACATTCATTCAACAGTTGCTCGGTTTAGGGTTTAGGGTTTAGGGTTTAGGGTTTTGGCAGGTGATGCCGTTGTCCCCACCAACCCTTTCAAAGAGAAGCAATAACCACACAACAAACTACCAAACAGTTCGAGACCCGTGGCCAGAAAACTGCACTCTGTCATATCACCAAGCGTCTCTGCAAAAGCAGCGTTGAACATGCCTGTGGAAGACACTGTGGCCCTATACTATGTATGATGCTTGTTACCTCCGGCAAGAGGGGACTGCAGCATGCTACTTCCTGCTTACGCATAGTGGCGACAAAACCGTCGTAGACAAAACCCTCAACCCATACATACCCCAAGGGTCCAAATGACCCAATACTTCGGTACTCGGTTTTAGGATAGGTAGTTATCTAGGTTAGGATTTGGGAGAGTATATTTATTGGCTACTTGGACCCTTGCGTACACATCCTGAAACCTCGTAATGCTCGCAGAGCCACAGCTACATGATACGGTTGATGATATAAATCCTGCATTACCTTAACGACCCCAAACTATGGGAATTATTACTTGGAGGGTCGGGGGACTTAGTAACTGGTTATTTTGGGGACTTATATTTACCATAACCCCAATTATGGCCCCTTTTAGGGTACTTAGAAGTCTACTTACTACCTACTTACTAAGTCCCCCGACCCTCCAAGTATGGGTCATGCAGGATTTATACCATCAACCGTATGGTTCGCTCCCTAGAGCCGAAAGGTCCTCCGATACGAATCACTATACCTTGGGTACGGCCCCACACAGTAACAGTCTATAATAGGGCTACTATTAAGGGCCGTATATTCCTATATTATGTATATTACCCAACTGTTACTGAGTGGGGGCCGAACCCAAACTATACCTCCTGTCTGCCTTGTCACTTATTTTAGCTATTCGTTACCTTATAGAATCCTGAAAATTAACCTGACTAAACCAAGAAAGGCAACTAGAATGCATACTATAGGTTAGTACCATCAACAACGTAGTCTATGACCCGTCAGCCAAGTTGTAGTCCGGACGGGCCCTTCACAGAACCTGCCCAAATCGTTTATACATCAGCCGTAAATAGTAAAGTACCTATATGTTAGGGTTTAGGGATTAGGGTTTAGGGTTTAGGGCCAAAGCAAAATTGCATGGGATCCTCCAGGACAAGTTCGTGGGTCAACCAGGCGTTGACATTGATTCACGAGAGATCGGCTTATGACATGGAATGTTCTCAAAGCCTTACACTCATTCACTTTGGAGTGGTTCAAAAACGCTTCTCAAGCCGATTGAAATAGACCCGGCAACCGGGAACCCCGCACCGAAGCGCTAACGATAAATCCGGAATCCGGCATCCTAACAGTAAACCTTCAGCCCTGCATACCGAACTCTACGCCCTCCTAGATGAAGGCTATAAACCCAAAGCAAGCCCCACGATCCGCCTGAAGCATATGGGAGTTTCCGAAAGCAGGGGACCCTAGTATAGTACCCTAAATAGTAGGATCCTTATTATAAGGACCCCCAAAATATGGTACCCCTAATTTTCGGAAACTCCCATATGGAAATCAGAAGGAAGCAAGCGCCGATAATGACACCGGGCCCGGGGTGTTGAGGTAGGCAAACACAAACCCGATATAGACAGTCAAGAAGGGATATTGCTAATTGTGCGGACCTCTTCTTCGGGCATTGTACCTTAAACCCTAAACCCTAAATCCGAAACCCTAAAGCCTAAATCCTAAACCCTAAACCCTAAATCCTAAGCCCTAAACCCCAAAGCCTAAGCTTTAAGGGATTGCCCAGGGCCTTACACTTTAGGACTTCTGCCCGGAGACCGAGCAGCCGATAGGCTAAGGTCTTAGGGCTTGGCTGAAGCTTCATATTTCACATGGGTGGTTGTCATAAAAGGGATCCATTAAGGCATCCTTTTTGGGATCTATGGGGTTTAGGGTTTAGGGAGATATGGGTGGTTGTCAAAATTATGGTCCCGTTTTGTAAACGGTACCCTGAATAATAGGTGCCGTACTATAATAGGGACCCAAAAAGGGACCCTCATTTTGACAACTACCCACATAGGGTTCAGGGTTCAGGGTTTGGGATGTAATGGCTTTTGGTTCGGGTTTAAGGCGTTTAGGGTTTGGGATATGGGTTTAGTCAGGGTTTGGGGTTTAGTCAGGATTTAGGGTTGAAGTTGAAGGTTTCGAGACCGAGGCACCGTCAGCGTCAGGGAGGAAGCTGCGATCTGAGCACTTGACAGAGCCGTTTGGGGCTTGAGGGTTTGGGGTTTAGGGTTTCTTAAAGGGCTCCTCTAAGGTTCTATAATAAGGGTACTACAGAGTTTAGGGTTTAGGATTTGGGATTTTGGGCATCGAGCGTTTACCAAGGATCAGGGTGCCCACATATTGTACCGTCACTGTAGAAACGAAAACTGTAGGTTTGGGATGTCAGCTGTAAATTTACAGTCTGGTCTAACCCCTGAACCCAAAACCACTCAAACCCCGAACCCCAACAATGAATCTAAAACCCTACCCTGTAAAACGTAAAGCCTCAAACCCTAAAAGCCCGTAAGGTGGACCATAGACTAAACCCTAAACCGCGATACGAGCCTTCCAGAGGCCATATAGAACCTTGGCAGAGGCCTTCTGGAACTCCACAACACTGGGCTTAGGGTTAAGACCGGCCGGCAGCGGGACATAAACTGATTGCAAAGCACTTCCCAAAGCAAGTAGTACTGGGCTTCGATGGCCTGCGTAAGCCAGTTTGCAAGGGAACTACAGCTTAACCTGTGGGGTTACGTAGGGGTTAAAGTACCACAAAGATGCCAAAGGTGACTCACAAAGTTAGCTTGCCCGGAAAAGACTACAATAGAGACATATGGAGACAATCTGTAAGTTTGTATATTGAGCTGAGAAGGCTTCTCCCATTGAAAGTTCAGCCCCAAGTCGCCCGTTTAGCACTAAATGCCACACCCTTGTATGGATCCAAAGCCCTGGATGTAAAACCCCTTAAAATTAAATCAAGACCCTGTAGAACCATTCCGAAGCCCCTGCAACCTATTCCAGCCCTAAACGCCGAACCCCACCCCGCATCCTTGCCTAAACCCTACCTAGACCCTTAAATGTCGAAATGTAGCACCCTGTTTTGCATGTCTTATTCGGGACCCCAGGTAAGCCAGAAATAAAAGGGCTCCCTCCTTGGTATTGGGTATTCTTATAAGGAGGCTACGACTACACAAAGCCCTGGGAGACCTTGTGTTTGATGGTTCGCATCCTACAATAAGAAGCTAAAAAAAAAACCAAAAACATGCACATTGAAGGCCCAAACCCTAAACCCTAAACACTAAACCCTAAACCCTACACCCTAACATCCACAGGTTTTGGTTCCAGTGGCCACGATGAATGCGAAACCGCACATCTCCGCACTCCATCCTCGGCAGAATCTCGGATCTCACACCGCAACCTACCTGTAGTACACGGTTTGGGGTTTAGGGTTTATGGTGTAGGGTTGCAGGACTGATCTAATCATAACAGCAAGTAAGCCTTCTATGAACATTTGTTTAAGGATTCTTTGGGGTTCCTATAGGGGTCCATAAGGATTCATGCTTTAGAAGCTACTGTACAAATAGCCCCCATCGTTGTTCTTCGTCTCTTACCGTCGCCATGAAGCTTGCTTGAATCGGAAATCCCAAACCAAACCTCCAAGCATGACCGACGGTCTCTGGGGTTCGACAAGGATTTCATAACATAAGGTTTTGCTCCAGGCGTTTAGGGTTCGAGGCGTCGGGCTAAACGTGCTCAGAACGCGCGTGTAACGATTTACAAAGTTTTCACTGGCTTGTATGCGGATGAGTATACGGATACTATCTGAACTTTAGAAGCAGCACAAGTAAGGGCAATGGCAGCAAACCCGGAATCTGACAGTGCTTACATAAGCATCCCGAAGATGTACTAGCACTACAGCAGTGCTAGCTTAATGTTGCAATAAACTATTTCTTGCCATGGTGCAGATGGAAACCTGCCAGATTTCAACGCCAACAAACAAATTGTGCGTGAACCCTAGTACTCATCCCTGGATAATCCCTGATAAGGGCGACCTTTAGATGCAGCCGGCAGGCCATAGGAAACCTCCAGCAACATGATCGTTGCCACCTTGCACAAGGGTTTGAGTAAGTTTTAGGGGGGATGGTGCTTAGCATTGTGGGGTTTGGGATTCATGGTCGTTGCCAACTTGCAAGGGCTTTCCCTAGGGAAACCAACGTACGTTACAAAGGTAGATGTACCACTTTTTCGGGCCACATCCCTTTTACGAATTAAGGTACATTGGCTACTTAGGGTATTGGTGTTTTCTACAATGCGGGACCTGTGCTGAGAGTAAGCTTTAGAAGGGATTGTGGTTGGCGTTTTGGGGCTTGGTTTTCAAGGTTTAGGATTGGAAGGGCCGTCAGGCTTTAACAACTTCCCCAAACACTAAAGCCCCGTGTGCGCTGACATGTCCCGCCCCATGGAAAGAGTGGTGCTCTTGAGCTACGATTTGAAGAGTTTCGCACTCGCAGCCGCGATTAGGCACAGAAAGACTAGAGTTTTGAATCACTGCGAATTCCTGCAGCCGAAACCCCTGGGTTCCTAAGTAGCTCCTTCATAATAACGGCACCCTTTTTTCCTACTATCTTGATTTGATAAGGGGACTCTAAACTAAAGAGGACAAGAGGGTACTCCTCAGGAACCTAGTATACCCTAAACCCCTACAGATCCCCTATAGAACCCTTTAGGGCCGTTAAGGGTACTACTCAGGACCCTAGACCCAAAGTAGCCAGAGGTCGAGGTCTCGGCGGGTTGCAAATCGGGGTCTGCATCATTTAATGTACTTGCCTTTCTTGTGGTCATGATGATGCATCTACCTGGAGAAGGGCTTGGGGTTTGGGATTTAGAGTCTAGGCTTTAGGATGATGCATCTAACTGGAGATACTGCTGATGTTAATAAGTGGTGGTGATGACGGTGGCAGCAATTACGGTCGACAGCCCGCCGCCACCACCACCACCGGCAGCAGCAGCAGCAGCAGCAGCAGCAGCAGCACCAACACCAACAGCACCACAGCACCGGTGCGTATTTCGCCGGAAGCTTGCTTTCAGTACAACAACGTCAAACCCGGAAGTCGCCACACACAAGTCTGGGGCCTGATCCAGTAGCTAGACGAACAGGGTTTGCGTGGAAGTCGTACTGTGGTTAGAGTAGGCTTAGATCTTAGGTGTTGCATCATTACGTCAAGTGTCATTAGCATTGTTATGTGGTCCTTATCGTTGGTAGAATTATGAGTGTGCTTCTTCTCAGTAATATGACTGTTGCTACTACCGTTATTCTTCTTAGTACTATTGTTAGTATTATCATTGCGTCTAGCACTCTTCCTACTGTTATCATGATAACCATCATCATGATCAGACCTCGTAGTAACCCTTGTCATAACCCTTAGAGTAACCTAATACCCTAACGGGTTGGGGTTTATTGGGGTTTAGGATTTAGGGTTCAAGCATCCACCTGCGAAGCGTCAGAAAACAATGATCTATACCCCCAAAACCGAAACTTCTCCCAGGACCGCCAGCCTCAATGGCAGCGACGGAGAATGGCCGCTCGAAAGAATAGGCGACCATCAGAAAGACGACCCTGGTTTAGGGTTTAGGGGCATCCCGAACCCAACTCGGATTCTGGCACCAGGATCCTTGCTTAGGGCTTATCTGCATCCCAAACCTAGCTCGGACTATGCCTCTCCTCTATCTAGGGCCTACAGAAGATACTTCGATAGAAGGCACAGAGAGCGCCCAAAGGGCTGGTGCCGGTTCTTTAGATGTGGCAACCCCAACCTCAAACCCAGAAACCCAGAACCCCTAAGCCTAAGCACTAAACCATGAACCCGCAACACCTGCGGAGACAGCACGCGCACTCGGACCTTAGAGAGACCGTCAAGAACACCGAACCCTAAACCCTTCAGGGCGGTAACACTATCTACAGCCCAGCCGATTCAACTCAGCCTCTACCTTAACCTACCAAAACCTGCTTTTCTTGTAGGTTCTGATTATAAACCCGAATATGCAATTTTACAGCGACCCGACCAAGAGGTGGGTTAAGGTATGCTCTTGCCTCGAAACATACCTTGTCCACACTTGGAAGACTTAGCAAAGTGATGTTCAGGTCGGTTTAGGGTTCAAGGTTTAGGGTTTAGGGAGGCTCTTTAAAGTGATCTTCAGGTGGAGGTTCTGATTCAGGGAGCGTGCGTTCAAGCTGGCTAATCCGCACATATAAAAATCCTACGCCCTGTCGACCCAAAACTTTCCCAACAAAACCCTTATATAAACCTTGTAAATAACAAATCGAAGCTATGAAGCCCTGTAAGCCTTGTATATTGCGCTTGAAAGTCTGCAACTTCCTTAAAGTACCCTATCAAGTCCTTCTAAAACCCAGAAAGTTCGCATTCAACAGCCCGGCAAGATCTTGAACCCTCGGCGCTACCTGGACTCGAAGAGACCTACCTTGCTAGGGTCCCTTTTTATGGCTTTCGTACATACTTCCTTAGAATGTAGGTTCTGTAGGGTCTGGTAAACCTTCAAACTCCAAACCCTAAGCCCTAAACTCTAAGCCGTAAACCCTAAGCCCTAAACCTTAAAACTCTAAAACCCTCTACCCAAACCTTAAGCCTTCAAACCCTGAAGCCCTAAATAGTACCCTATAGAACCCTTAAAGAAACCCTAAAGCCCTAACACCCCTTACATAGGTCGGAAACCCTCATTAAACCCTACAGTACCCCTCTAGAACCCCCAAAAAAGGAACCCCAAAGCCCTAACACCTAAACCCTAAACCGCTGAACCCCTAAACCCCTAAACCCTATACCCCTAAACCGCTAAACCGCTAAACCCCGAAACCCCAAAACCCCTAAACCCCTAGCCCTTAAAGGAATCCCTGAACCCGTAAACCCTAAACCCTAAACCCCTGAACCCTAAACCCTAAACCCTAAACCGCTAAACCCCTAAACCCCAAAACCCCTGAACCCCGAGCCCTTAAAGGAATCCCTGAACCCCTAAACCCTAAACCCCTGAACCCTAAACCCTAAACCCCAAACCCCTAAACCCTGACCCCTAACACCCCTTAGGTCGCAAGCCTCTCCCGATCTTCCGGCTCAAGCTGCTCGGGAGCTGCCTCGAGAGCCTCCGTTTTGGGTCTAGGCTTTAGGGTTTAAGGTTCCAAGAATTAGAATCATATAGGGGCCTTATAGAAATTAGACTAGGGTTTTGGGGCCCATTATACTATAATTTTAATAAGGGACCACCGAAATAGTATAGGTTATCATGATTTCAGCGGTTGAAACCATGGGCCCCGAGTATGGGCCCTGAACCCTGAGATCCCTAAATACCTACGATGTACCCTATATAGACTCTTAAGGGTCCCTCGAACTCCTTCAAAAAGGCTAAGGGTCAATATTAGGGGCCCGTACATCTAACCTTAGAAATGCTATACCAGACCCAAGAGTAACTTAGGAATAAAAAGGGTGCCCTTTCTGGAGGAACCTGAACCCTTAAAAAGGGAATAAGGGCCTACTCTACGTCCTACGGTTGATGATATAAATCCTGCATGACCTTAAGGACCCTAAACTATGGGAATTATGGTATACTCCTTATTATGGGTAATGCAGGATTTATATCATCAACCGCAGTATACGGTTCAAGGCCCTGGGCTTTAAGACTTGGGGTTTCTCCCTCTGTGGCGCTCACCTTATGCACACAGACTAAAGCCCCTTTTTAAGGAAGCCCAAAACCCTGAAACCCTAATATGGGGGCCTTTTAGGGGTTTTATAAGGAAACCCCCTATATAAACAGTCTTGGTAATTATTTCTGCCCCTATTAAGGAATCCCAAACCCTAAAACACCCTTTAAGGAACCCTACTTAGAGGATCAGGGGACCTAGCAAGTAAGGTTATAAGTACCTTAATTGGGGTTATAAGTAGCTATAAGTATAGTTACCTTACTTATAACCCGAGTTACTAAGTCCCATGATCGTTTAAGTAAAACCCTAAAGCCCCCTTGATCGCCTGGTCATTCCGGGCTTCCGCAGGAAGCTCGGGCCTTGGCCAGGGCCCCTTCTAAAGGGAACTACAAGGGTTTTAGGGCTTAGAGTTTAGGGTTTAGATTTTAGGGTTTAGGGTAATGTAGGGACCTTAATACATAGACAAGGGTGTTAGGGTTCCTGAGAGGCCCCTTATAAGAGTACTGTAGAGTTCAAGGTTTAGGGTTTTTAGGGCACTTTAGAGTTTGTAGGTTTAGGGCAGTTTAAGGTTCACCAATCACTCAAAGAGCTTCCCTTAAGGGTACTACAGGGTCCAAGGCCTTAAACCGTATATTGTAGGGTCTAGGTTTAAGGGTTGAGGGACTATATGGTTTAGGGTCTAGGGCATAGGGTTTAGTGAAACCCCTCAACAGAAGGGGTCCTGACTGCCTGAAAGTAGAATGTAGGGTTTCTTGGTGTCGGCAAGTACCCGCCCCCCAACACAGAGGTACTTAGCACCCTTTGGGGTCAGTAAAGGGTTAAGGGCTCATAGGGTTTAAAGGGTTGTGGGTTTAGGGCTTGTGTATTAAGGTTCCTTAGAGGCCCCTTTAACAGGTACTGTAGGGGTACTATAGAGTTCAGGGATTGGGGTGAAGGGTTTAGGGTTTTTGGGGCACTTCAGAGCTTAGGGTTTAAGGGTTTGGGGCGCAGCTGTTTTTTTTGTTTCAGGGACCTTCTTCCCGCACTCTGCAACAGGGCTTCAGGATATACGGTCGCAGGACCCCTTAGGGCTTACTTGGATTTACTTGGAGGGTTAGAGGACTTAGTAGGTCAGGTTATACGTACCTTAATCGGTGTTCTAAGCAATTAAAGGAACTTAGCTATCTTGCTTATAACCCTAGTCACTAATTCCCATGATCCCTTTAGCAAACCCTAGACCCGAACCCCTAAACCCCTAAACCCTAAGAGCCGTCTTAGGGTTTAGGGTGTCGGAACCCCTGGCAAGGCCCTATGAGCCGGACTCTGGGTGGATCTCCGTGGGGAAGACCAGCATCCCATAGAAAAGGTTGCCCAAGGAGAAGGCGATCAGGCCTGGGTTTGGGGTTCCTTACTTGGAGGGTCGGGGGACTTAGTAAGTAGGTAGTAAGTCGACTTATAAGTACCCTAAAAGGGGCCCTAATTGGGGTTATGGTACTTATAAGGCCCTAAACTAACCAGTTACTAAGTGCCCCGACCCTCCAAGTGCAGGGCTCCACTTTGGGGTTCTATCATGATACTGCAGGGATCAGGCGTTTAGGGGTTTACTGTAGGAGTTTAGGGAGTGAGGGGTTAGGGCGTAGGGCTTTGGGGGTTTAGTGGCTTTGGTGGTTTAGGGTTTAGGGGATCAATCCTGGCTTCTCTTTACTACTGTTCTTGTTCGTGGCCTTCCACGTACTGCGTTGTGTTCGGGTGTATTCTATATTCTTTTGCATCGGATTCTACAGAAAGCTGCTCAGATCGGGTAGCCCCGGTACTGACAGAAAGCAGAACGCCGCTTCGACTACCGTGCCAAGAGCAGCAGCATGCCTCTAACCCCAAGGGTCCAAAGGACCCCAAAAGTAGGTACTCGGTTTTAGGATAGTAATTATGTAGGTTGGGATTTGGGAGAGTATATGATTATTGGGAACTTGGACCCTTGGGGTAGGTTTCGTGAAACACTAAGCCCCAAACCAGTGGAATCGACTTGCCAGTCTTTGGATGACTAGAAATCAGAAAAATGTCCAGCAAATTCTTACGCGAAGAGTACGCACACAAAGCAGAACAGTCAAGCCAAAGCTTACCCAAACAGCTACTTCAACTAAATACTGCTTCTCTGTCGCCGAGATGCCAATGTAGGACCAGGCCATCATGCTGACCTTGGCTTCTGGAGCTTGGGTAGGGTAGGGTTTACTTCGGGTCACCTGCAGACACGACCCCTGAACCCCACAACTTGAACGCTACACCGCGGAACTCCAACCCAACCCTCAAACCTTCTGAATCGAAATTCCTCCTGGACAAGCCTAGACCCTCAAGCCCAAACTCTACAGACCATGCCATCGATCTAAAGGAAGTGCACATTGGAAATATGATTTGGAGGTAGTACTCGCTTTAGCTTGCTTCAAAGGACAATGAGTCTCCAACTTTATGGCAGATACTGCTGTTGAGGAGCGGTAACAGCTCGAACATCGTTGAACATGATTTCTGCTGTATGCAGTCAGATACGTACTTTAGGGGAATGTGACTACTAGTTCTTCAGATGCCTCCGACCAGCCCGAAGCAACCCGAAGCCCTGAACCCCGTTGACAGTCACAGCTCATCCGGGTCGACTTCAGACGGTCGACGCCTCACTGACTTCCCTTGCCAACGAAACGCCAAGCTCCGAACTTCGATCTATGCTGCTTAGTTGCTGAGTTCATAAGCCCCCAAACCTGTGCACTTTTCGTTTTATAGTGGGTAATGTTACCCCCAAAAAGTGTAAAGTGTATCCACTCAGCTACTAAGGCTGTTACAGGGATGCTCACAGAGCTCTACAGACAGCCACGCAACTTGGGAGTCGCATGTTCAGCCCTGAGTTCGCCACTATATGAGCGGTTGTCAGAATTAGGGTCCCTTTTTGGGTACCCTATAGGTGCCGTACTATAGTAGGGACCCAAAAAGGGACCATAATTTTGACAACCACCCATATGAAGGGCCCACACTCAGAGACTCCAATATCCCTTAATTAAGGAATACTCCTTAAATCATAGTAGGATCCTTTATATGATTTAAGAAATATTCCTTAATTAAGGGATATTGGAGTCTTTGGGTACTAGAGGCTTTAGGACGGTGTAGGATGCAGAACCAGCTGAGTCCGATGTAAAAGTGCAAAATACCCCCTGCATAGCGTTAGGGCTGAAGTCAAGGTTTGGGGTATCGTATCCTGGGGAACCAAAGGTTAACCTTTGGGAGTATAGCGGTTAAATAGGGTTTATAGTACCCCAGAGAGGTTAAAGGTTACCTACGCTACTACTGGGTACTCTCTTTGACTAGTGCTAATTTTAATGTTTGGCATATCTAGGCCGAAGTGGCAGGCGAGACCTCGCGACCCTGGCGGACCATGGCGCCTGGTTTATCCGGGGATAACCGTAAGGGTCCAGAGAAATATCCCTTAATTACGGAACATTCCTTAAACCGTACCAGGGATCCTACTGCAATTTAAGGTACTTGTATATTCCTTAACTAAGGGTAGGGGGTCTATACAGGGTTCTATAACGATTCCTTGCAGGGTTCGACAAGAGTTCTCTGGAGGCTTCTATTACAAGGAGTCAATAAAGGTTCCACAAGTGTGGAAATCAGGTTCTGTGGGTTCAGTAAAGCGGCACTTGTATCTGGGAGAGCTCCTACATTATGAACCCTAAGCCCTACACCCCTAAACAGTACAACTCTGACGAATCCTGCATGATTTGCGGGAAAGCGAGACAGTGAAGGGACGCTCGCGTCTAGAAGCCGCAAGCTTGATCCAAAACCTTTAGACTAAACTTCAAAACTTGAGGGTCTGGGGTTCATTGGCCTGAGACCCATTTTCTTCCCTAACTTCTGAATGTCCCTGATTTTCTGCTGATGTTCAAAGCTCCCTAAACGGCGAACATGAACGCAATGCAAGCTCGAATCAGCCTGAAACCCCACAGCCCCAAAGCCCCAAGTAACGACCTCAACCCCTGAGATCCAAACCGCCAAACCCCAAATCCCCAAACTCAACACCCTAAGCGCGCCTTGACCAGAAAACCCTAAACCCCTAAACCCCTAAACCTCTAAGCCCACATAAACTTTGAGCTTAGGAGCTGATGGCTGCAAAGACCGGAGGACCCAGAATGAAACCTCGAGGTCGGGCTCGAGGGCTTTATAGGGCTCTAGGTTTAGGGCATAGGATTTAGGGCTTAGGGTCTAGGGTTTAGGGCTTAGGGCTTAGGGTTCATAGGGTTTGAGCTTTTTTGGTGCGTCGGAGTTCGTTGGTGAGGATCTTGAAGGTTTGCATTTAATTTAAGGCGTTTTAACACTTGAGGCTTTTTCAGGGCCAAGGGTTTACTCGGGCGGTCTCTTGAGTTTCAGATTTGTGGGTTCGAAGGTTTGCCGCTTGCTGTGTCTATGGAGTGAGGCTTAAGGTTTGGCTTCTGCTCATTTGAAACCCTAAACCCTAAACCCTAAACCCGTAAACCCCTAAACCCTAAACCGTTCTGGACCTCTATGAACTGCTGTTGTTGTGTAACAATCCCGGCACAGCCACAGCAGACAACACTAAGGCGTGGTTGGAGAGCGCGCCCCCTCCGACTTGAGTGACAATACCGACAATACCCTACTATCGGCTCCTGAATAATTGCGAATACCATTGTGGGTAGTTCCTTATGATTACAGTATAAAACCCTATTCAAATTGTTTAGCCCCCTGTACTAGTCAAGTCTCACAACATCTCGCAAGTGTTTTCAATCACCGAGCAGGACATTCAAATCATCCGGACACAGCTTCATCTAAAACATGAAAACCCTCAACCCCAAACCATCTTAAACAGCTAACCACAACTTGAACCCCAAGAAGCAACATATAAATTACACTTTGCTCCGACTATCCCCACTGAGCCCAAGTCAAAGATTGCAAGACCCTAAACCCTAAACCAAACCCCCCAAGCCCCACAACCTCAAAAGCCAAAAACTCAACGGCCAGAGACGCCAAGAACCCGGAATCCCGGACCCTTAATCCTGCCCAAAAGCCATGATCTGTGCCGTAAGTCACCCCTGAAACCTTTAACTGAAACCTTCAAGCAAGAACCCTGAACCCAAAACTCCGAAACACTGCCAGGCAGCCTCCATTGCGGCAGCCTCTCAGCCGAAAGTGATGCTACTGATACTGTCCACTTGCCGACAAAGTGGGTCAGTGTTCTTCAGGACCTATACAAACGCTGGTACCCATAACCTGCAATCCATTATGTAGGTAGGTAGCTGGGCTCTGAGGGTACACTACCCTAAATCCTAGAACCCTGAAACCTAACCTTGCACCTTCAACCCTGAGCCCGAACCCAAGCCGTATGCCTCTCCAGCGTACGGACGTGGCCAGCTGGTTTACAACTCTTGAAGGCTTCCACACAAACCTACGACGACTGCACTCCTGTGGTTAGTAGCACTAAGACCACAGATAACCAATCCCTAAACTCTGATGGAAGTTCCTGGATGTGCAGAGCTTGGAGGTGTTGCATAACTGAGCTGACAGAAGCCTCCGACAACAGCATCCGATGACTCGAAGTTGTTGGGGTGCTGTTGTGGTGCAGCTTGAAGCCGCGCTTGGCGTTTCAATCCGGCCGCCAGAGCTATATTTAGTCCGAGTCCAACCTTTGGGTATAAGGGGTTAGATCTGAAGTCAAGACCAAAATTTGCAGACAAGAGGGACACTGCGAAAGGAGAAATGATGGCTGAAATTCAATGACAGCCTAGAAAAATGACCTAGGCTTGATATTTACTCTTTTATATACTCCATGCCCTGGTTTCTGGCGAGGGACACTGAGCCATGATCATCCAGAAGGTCTTGTCCTTCGCTGGGGTGATCTTGTTCCACCTGAACTGCATGTCGGGCATCGAACTCAACCTACATACCCGAAACGGTCGTATCGCATGTTTGCCAGGTGTAGGAACGAAATTACTGTACCCAACTAGATCCTACATTGCCTCAAAGAACATACATCTATGTATGTATGTGTATATATATATATATATAGTGAACCCCAGAAAGTTGGAACATGGATTTAGGATGATTCATGCTGGGATTCCCTATACTTTGCTTTAAGGGCATGAGTCTACTGATGTTCCAACTTTCTGGCTTCTACTGTATATATTATACATATATATATATATACATATATATATATATATATATGCGTATATATATATATATATATATATATATATATGTAATTACAACTTTACGCATATAACTATACAAGTATATATATATATATATATGCACCTATTTGGAATCACCTCTCAGGCCTAAGTATAGACTGCATGGGTACATGGATCCTACGGGGTCCTTGATTAGACGGTGCGGCCTCTTCATGGGTCAAAATAATCGGGCAGACGAGATGTCCGTGCCAGAGCTCAGAAATGCACCCCGAAGCTACCACATGAAATCTGCGATTTACGGATCGGCCAACCCTCCGTTGTATGCAACACGTCGAGCGACGCATCAGCCTGAACCCCTGAACCCTTCCGCATTTTGGGAGCCTTGTGAAATCAGAGCTTTCCTTCGGCTGGGTTCTTGATAAGGAATGAAAGAGTTATCGTAACAGGGATGTATAGTGAATAATATGGATTCCCAAACTTATGGCAACTGAACTTAAATCCCTCAGCAAGAACCCAGTAGGAGATCTTTCAAATGCCAAGTTGAACCGCAAAGCTCAAAAGGAGCTCCAAACCCAAAGCTGCAGGCACCACGTGCTGTGAGAGATCCGAGGCTTAACCCTACTTGTCGGGTATCATGGGGAACTAAAGGCTAAGCTTTTTGGGTATATAGGGATCATATAGGGGCTATGCTACCCAAAGAAGGTTAAAGGTTACCTACTCCACTACTAGGTAGCACGGCTCGGGAGTCTCAGGCCAATACTGGAGAGCCAGGCGCAGGGTAAGTGTAGACTTTACAGCAGGGCTTGAAGAGTCGCAGCTACATGGTTGGGCGTTTAGGTGTTATACAGGTTTCAATGGGCTCTATACTAATTAAGGACTTTAGGCGTATGAATTTTCCTCGAGCTGCATGGTGTTCCACGTGATGGTCGGCAGCGTAATGACCTGGGGCAATTGACCAACGATGAGCTGGTTTCGAGTAGTCCTATCCCGCACATCACCGCGAGAGCTGTGGATGTAAGAAACATATTCCCAGGGAACATGCAAGGGCTGAATGGTGTCAATGGGGTTTGAGTGTTCCGTTGCGGCAACTGCGTGGGGATGAACACATAGAGACTATGAAGGAACCCTCATCCGAAGTCTTAACAAGCATAGGAAAGTCTCACATAACGTCCACCGTCCTGATGCCGACACTACCGGTGCGGTTTGGTTCATGGCCTAGGACTCTAGATGACGTGTGTGGCTCGTCAAGTGACAACTTCGATGAACACTAATTAAACTTAAATCCTTCAATCCTAAACCTTAAACCCAACTCCCCATCCCTGTCCCGAGACCCTGACCTCCAAAACTCCCAAAGCTCCTGCACCTGAACCGCCGAAGCCTTACGCCCCAGACATGGATTGGGTTTTAGGGTTTAGGATTTAAGGTTTAGGATTTATGATCTAGGATTTGGGATTTAGAGTTTAGGATTTGGGGTTTAGGGTTTAGGATTTAAAGATTTGGGGTTGAGGGTGCTTCAAGTATCGAAAGCCCCGGCATCCTCAGCTCTCTCGCATACTACGACTTGCCACGCCGAAATACCAAAAGCCCTCAGACACATCCCAGGGCCCCTGCCCAAAAAAACTCAATCCGAAACTAAAGAGCCAAAGCCAACAACGATTCCAATCCTGATTATAACAAAGTTACATGGATGGGTATGGAAACCTGCAAGATGCACTGGAAGCACCGAAACTTGAAACCGTCGAAAGCCGCCAGAAACAACCTGCAACAACTGACCGTCGGCTAAGGAGTGCGCTGTTGTAGCAGCCTCAGGCCACGTTAATTCCGAAGGCAATTATACAGCTTCGGGACATAATACAGGATTTTCCGGGAATAAGGGCTACGGTATTTTGGGGTCCTTATAATAAAGATCCTACTATTTAGGGTACTAGACTAGGGTCCATATTTTCGGCTTCCACAAAAAAGTTCTGGCATATATTGTGATAGAAATACAAGTCATGTTGACTAGTCTCCCAAAAGTGCGCTTTTTTGGTCGATGACCGGGTATGTACCCAAACGCTGCATCTCAGCCCATTCACTAAACCCTAAGCCCTACACCCCCAAGCCCCCAAGCCTACCCTAAACCCTAAACCCTAAACCATCCCGAAATAAGGAATCGTATCCTTCGGAAAGCAGTGCTGCCCGGTGTGTCCGTGAGTACTTGGAAGTAGGCCCCAAAAACCATACTAAGCGTGGTCTTTCGGGACCAATTCCAGAATGGTAGTATGTACGGACCCTCTGGGTAAACCACAGTGGCACTTTGAAGGGATCGTCTAGTACGGTTAAAACTTGCATAATTACAATGGCTATGACAATCTCAGTTGATATCTCTGAAAAGCTAACTGCTACAACTATAACAACAGTTGTAACAAGCTTGATACCCCTACAAGTATAACTAGTTAAGATCATAATCAGTTATAATACCGAAAACAACGAGTTATCAAAATCTACGCGAGGCATTTCGGAGCTGCGCCTGGGGGTCCCATGCGTTAGGTTTTAGGGTGTGGGTTTAGGGCTTAGGGTTTTGGGCTTAGGGTTTAGGGCTTAGGGTGTAGGGTTTAGGGCTGAGGGTTTAAGGTTTAGGATTGGGGTTTAGGGTTTACTGTAATACCCAGCTAGGCTATCCTACGTGGTCCAGAATAAACCCTCTAAAACCCAACACACACCCCATAAAACGCTCATAAGGCAGCCTTGAAGTACACCTCAGGGCACATGACCATAGGGTCACTGCTTATGAGGTCCTTCCGATGACAGGGTTGAAAGCTCAAGCCGCAAAATCCTAAACACTTAAAGCCCCGAAACCCTCACCTTACGGGCCTTGCATCCCAAAGCCCTGGAACCCCTAAACCCTAGACCGTGAGCCCTGCAACCCCAAGCGGAAAGACCCTGGTCACCAAACGCTCAAATCCTAAATCCACAGAAACCTACATTAAGGCTTAGGGCTTAGGGTTGACCCAAAAGCACAGAAGCCCCGATTCTCGAAGTCTTCGCAGTGATATGCTGAAGTCTCGAACCCTGATACCCCAATATAGCCCAACTAGGCGATGGGCTCGCTACAACATACATATGCTTAGGGTTTACGGCTTCGTGCTTATATACGATCTAGGTTTGAGGGTACTCATAAGAAGGAACTCGAAGAAATGAGAATATTAGCTACCAAGGTCCCTACACTAAGCCTCTGGGTCCTTATACCCCAAACCTCGAAAGGAACCCTTCAAGGGCCTAAGTGCATCCAGCCATATCCTCTATATGGGAAAACGGACCCTTCTTTAGACCCCGAATTAACACTGCATAGTTCTAAGGAGATCCTTCCTGTCACGTAGCCCCTACAGTACACGGACACGGACACGGACACACACACACACACACACACACACACACACACACACACACACACACACACACACACACACACACACACACACACACACGCACGCACACACACACACACACACACGGACCCTGAGGGAACTTGAAAAGCCCCTTCAGTTCATCCGGGTCGCGCCCATGCAGAGCTGACTCCACCAGAACCACTGCCGACGTGCTGGCAAACTCCATGTGGTCTAGGCGTTTAGGAACCCACGGTAGGGCTTAGGATGGTTTAGCGTATTGCAGAGGGTTACGAGGCGCCAGACCGGATTTATGTGTGGCTGGGATCACGAGCACTTTTGTCCAAGATTTGACCCTATTCTAAGTCTACCGTCACCAAGGAAGTCCTAAACTTTCCAGGTGAGAAGACCTCAAGGAATAGGCAAGGGACTCGAACTCCGCCTCTTTGACATATCGGTACAGTTGAACGTCCGTTTGTTACATCGATGTAGAAAAACATACATTACACTGTACACCATATGGGTAATTCCCTGGAGTAGGGTCCCTTTTGGGCGTGCGTGTGTCTGGCTGTCTACGCGTGTCTGCTAGCCACTGTTCGTTTATTTGCATGTGCGGCCGTCTGCTTATCTTGTTTTGGCGATTCCGAACCTTCAAGGACTTGATCGTGTCTTAAAATCTTTGGTCTGCTCGGGATGGGCATAGAACAACCGCAATCTTAATTATGCGAGCCTTAATACTGCACCGTTCGTCGCGGCTATCGGTGCGGTCTGAGGTGATACGGACTCTCGGCCACACCCAAAGCTTGAACCCTGCTATGTAATGCAATCCGTCACATACTCCAGTCCAACACGCCAAATAGCTTTATCTTTGAGAGTTCTATATGGGTGTTCAGGTTTGAGGGCTTAGGGCGGCTTAGGGTTTTTGGGCTTTACGGGTTCAGGCTAAACCTTTTGGCCCTGCGGTTAAGGTGTGAGGGTTGAGGGGATTTTGCGTGCTAGCAGCAAGGACCGCTCGGCTTTTATGGGTACATTGATGTGGCCACACTTCTATACGTCCTACAGAGGAAGACTATTGCTAATTGTTGCGAGCCCTTGTACAAACCCCTATCAACCTGTGCAGACCCCGAAAAAACCCAGAAAATCTACCAAATGGATAGTCGCTCCAAGTGGCACTTGCCTGCGTCACAAAGGCCTGGTCTGCGGTAGGAGGGGGAAGTGGCAATGGCTTAGGGTTTCGGGTTTCGGTTTGAAAAAGTGCGCATGAGGCATTCCGTTCTAAGTCTTAAAAATTCGCACCCTGCCACTGTTACTGCTACTGCTACTGCTAGTGCTACTGGTTCGAAAATAGCATTATTCTTGCTGCTGCTGCTGCTGCTGCTGCTGCTGCTGCTGCTGCTACCTCTACTTCTACTGCTACTGCCCCTAAATTAGCACCATGATTTCTTCTTCTGCTACTGCTGCTACTACTACTGCTAATCCTGCTATTGCTATTGCTGCCACTACTAATCACTACTACTACTGCTACTACTACCACTACTACCACCACTACTACTACTACTACTACTACTACTACTACTACTACTACTACTACTACTACTACTGACTACTACTACTACTACTACTACTACTACTACTACTACTACTACTACTACTACTACTACTACTCCTACTCCTACTCCTACTCCTACTCCTACTCCTACTCCTACTCCTACTACTACTACTACTACTACTACTACTACTACTGCTACTACTACTACTACTACTACGACAACGACGACGACTGCGACCACTACGACGACGACTACGGCTGGTTGTAGCTTGTACGGCTATTGCAATGCCGCGACGACCGCCACCACGACCATCACGACGACGACTGTGCAGCCCGGTTGCCATCGCAACCATTGTTATATGATCGATGATGATCAGCGCCGTGGCCGTCATAACCATCAAAGGCATTGCCTTTCATCATCTTCACCATTTGCGCCATCACCCGTCATAACAGACTCCAACGTCACGATAGCCCAAAAAAGCAAAGGCTGGTGAGGTGGATATCGAAGTGGTCATGCAAGCTGGGTCGAGTTGCTCAGCGTCTTCTGCAGATAAGGCTTGTGACCGCAACGTCTTCTTTCTTCAAAACAGCTACTATCATCAGGAGAATGACGGTGATTCTGGTGATGTCTGATGATGGCTATGACTGTGATCGTGCCCATAAGGATGGTGGTGCAAACAATGGGCATGACGACGACGGCGGTGCTGCGTTTCGACGAGAACCGTTTCAGTGGTCAGTGGCGTTCCGGGTTTAGGTTTTGCGCCAACGAGGATGAACATGATTCTGATGGTCGGGGCTCCAAACCTCCGATCCTGAGGGAGAGGATGCAAGATAACCTGTCAGCCGGGGATGTACCCCATTGGGCATGATTCGTCAAGCCTGAAGGATTCTCTTTGTGAGTGAAGGGCTGCCAGCACAGGAGGCAGAGAAGCGGAAAGAAAAGCCTGCCCAAAGCACAAGGAAGACGCGGAATTGCTGCAGTTTCTGCAACCCCTGGTGCTTCCTGTTTAACTTTTGGGCTGTGCAGA